ATATATATATATATATATATATATATATATATATTGCAAAAATTGTATTAATTAAGTTTTATTTAACATAAATTTAAAATAAAGTAGGAATTACATAAATTTTAGGTTAATTTTTTTAAAAAATAAATTAAATTTCTAGATTTAAAATAGGGACAAGTATGAGACGAGTAAGTATATATTTATTTTCATCCTGTACCAATTTTAATAAATAGAGTATTGCTTATATCTATACTTGTATACAGTTAAACTAAATATTTTTTTTTGTCAAAATTGGAACAGATTCAAGCATTATTCATTGATTTATTTGTCATCCTAATGTTGATCCTTTATTTATGTGCAACATCTCTCTTAAAAATGTTATTCCTTTATCGTAGTTTTTTTTTACAAAAATGTTATCATTTGTATTCCTCATGTCCACATCTAAACAAAAATAAATTTTTTCAAAAGTTGAAACAAGATTTTTTTAAAAAGCAAAATGGAAATTTTCTTCCAAATTTGATAGATGGTGTTTCAGAAAATAATTTCTTATAATAATAAAATAAATTGAATTTATAATAACATTTCAAGATATTGTTTCATCTAAAAAAATGCACATATAAAAAATGACACTTTAAAAACTATATTTTCTATATGCTTTTTTGCAAAGTGTAAGTATGATTAGTCTTGAGCCTTGATTGTAAGGGTAACTGTCTAGAGTTTATGATTAAGAGAGACTATTTTTTTTAATTATACAATTATGTTATAATTTTATATTATTTTTAAAATAAACAAAAAATTATCATCTTTTACATATTTCTTTATATATATATATTTAAATATAAAATGACATTATTATAATGTCTTATTAATTTTTTTGTTATTTTTTTCATGTATTACATTCATAAAAAGGTAAAATATATTTTTGATTCTCCTTAAAAATTTCAAATTTGATTGTAGTTTCTCAATTTACTTTTGTCCTTCTAATGTGGAGATGCATTACTTTTGATTTTTAAAGTTATTTATATAATACTTTATAATAAACAATAGTATAACAGTAAATTGAAGAAAAAATATAGTATTTTTTTTAGATTTGTTAACATAGTTATTTCTTTAATGTAATAAAACATTTTTTTTTCGATTAAAAGTTTAATAGATTATTTGGTCTATGAACTTTTTAAAAATATTTAATTACATTTCTAAACTAAAATTTTTTGTAATCGAGACATTTATCTTTTCTTCTTCTGCTTTTTTTTTTTTTTTTTTTGTAATTTAACCCTCAAGACTATAAATTTGTATATATTTCATGAAATACGTCATTTTTTTAATAATATCTTTAAGTCTAGTAAATTTTAATTCATATAAAAATTTTCATAATCTTTTTAATCATCACTATTCTAGAATAGTACAAAATTTTAGCCAATAAATTTTAAAATCTAATACACATGAATGATGACATTGAATAGCATTATGATATAGTTGTTTAAGTGTAAAGAAATAAAAAGAATATTATGTCAAATTAAATATCACAAATCATAAATAAATCTTTAATCATAGGGTCTGAATTATAAAAAGAAGAAAAATCAAATTATAATTTTTTCAGTTTAAGGTCTAATTATAAATTCTCAAAAAAATTCACAAACCAAACAATATATCAAGCCTCAATTAAATGATATATCTATTTTTATATTATAAATGTTTATATTTTAAATTACTTACATATAAGGGTTGATATTTATTGTTTCACCTAGAAGCTAGAACTAATGAAATATTAGGATCGATCTTAAGTGTAGAGTATATTTGTTGTATATATACATCATAAAACTAAAAAAGTAGATATTGCTAAGTTGATCCTCAATTAAATGAAGAAGAAGAGGAAAAAATAAAAATTATAAAAAGATAGAGAAGTGAAGATAATAAATAGTAAAAGTGATTATTATATTATGGCAGATGATAAACACACCTCCACTCTCGTATAAACACACTTCCCTTTTAAAAAAAAATATATAAAATGTCTAAATTATCCTTAAAATAAAATAAAATTCTTAAATTTACACCCCCTTCCCGCACCTCACACCCCCCTTCCCCCTCCCCCGCACCCTCACACCCCCTTCCACCAGATTCCCGGCGATCGCGGTGGCTCCATCCCTGTCTGTTTTCTCTCTCTTTCAATTACGTCTTTCCTTTCTCTTCCCTTAATCACTAATTATAATGCGCTTAACTCAATTCCCTCTTCATATAGGTTGTCATTGAAGAACTCGAATACATACTGAAGGAGCTTAAATCCAATTCTTCAATCAAAACTCTCACCGGTGGCAGCGTCGCCAACACAATTCGCGGACTCACTCGCGGTTTCAGAATTTCCACCGGAATTATTGGGGCCTGCGGGGATGACCACCAAGCCCAGCTTTTCGTCAACAACATGACATTCAATGACGTCGACCTCTCGCGACTCCGTAATAAGAAAGGACACACTGCACAGGTTTGCTATTTCCACAATTGTACTATATTTCAAACAAATAGTGTTCATCGACAAATCCATGGTGAACACTTTTTCTGTGCAATGCGTGTGCCAGCAGCCACGCTCGCTGCAATTGGGGCGGGTCTCGTACTTCTGGGGAACAATAGAAACTGGCCACTGTAGAGAAAATAGGGGTGCAATTGCGGACTACAATGTTTGTCACTTTAGGAAGAAGGAGGATGTGGAGTGTGAGGGTGCGGGGAAGGGGGTGTGGGATGTGGGAAAGGGGGTGTAAATTTAGGAATTTTATTTTATTTTAAGGATAATTTAGACATTTTTATATTTTTTTAAAAAGGGGGTGTGTTTATACAAGAGTGGAGGTGTGTCTATCATCTGCCTTATATTATATAGGGAGATACAAATTGAGTCCGTGTAGTAGGCCCAAGAACTAGAAGGGCCCAAATGAGACGTAGTTAGTTAGGGGTTAGGGTTTCCGTCCTATATAAGCATAGAAATGGATGTTGGTGGGTTGCGGAGTGAGTTTGTTTTGGGTATTTTA